AAGGAAAGAAGATATTTTTTTTTCCTTTGAGCGATAATTGAAAACACCCATGCTGCTGACCGTTCATTGGCTAAAGTGTGGCGTGAGCGTTAGGCGAAGGTAAACTATGAAGAAGGAGGGGAGACCTGTTGATGCCCTCTGAGGGGATTGGTGTGAGATACCAATATGAGAAAGGAAGAATTTGGGAGGACGATTCCCTTTAAGTAGAAAGTAAGGACTTCCAAAAATGGAAAGTAATAAATTTTCCTATCCGAGAACAAAGAAGATCCTTATTGTGGATTTAGAATTATCAAGGAACCTCAAACCCGACAAGCCCAACCCGGTTTTGGTCGGCGTCCATATAAGCAGAGTCGCAGCGAGTGGACGGCAGTTGGGGTTGAAGACGGGAAGCAGTTGAGTTGGAGTTGGAAGGTGGAGAGAGAGACGCAGAATTGAGCTGTGAGCTCTGAGACCCGCCTCGCAGAAAGCTGACTGAGATCCCACGCAATCACGACCTCAACTTCTAACCAAGAACAATTTATTTTTGAAGAACGACTTAGACTCACACCACCAAAACAAGTTTTACGATAGCACCTGAAAATACACCAAAAACCAGTTTCTTAAAGAACAAACAACTTAAGATGTTAAGACTCGCCTAACAAAGTGTCACGTATCCATATAAGCGGTTTGGGAGAAAGACGCAATCTTGTATTCAGCAACCAGATAAAAAATATTGTTATTCTTTTTTAACACATTTGAACTTTTCGAGTTGTTACTTTATTTTCTTTTATATACACTTGTGCGGTATTACCCTTGTTCGGACTCGACTTGCATTACGGCCCGGCGACTGATTAATTTCGTCTACCTAAGATCAAATCACAATGTAGGTATGTTAGACTAGAAATCAAAGCAGTTACTTCGGTAACCAGACGTTGGAGGCGAGCTGGGAACGACAAGGCTGATACCGAATCTAACCAGATTCCCATCCGAATCAGCAAAAGGTTAGAATGTCACATTTGGGTGCCGCGACCAATACCAAGTCACATTTGGCGCAGCGACCCCGGGGTGACGCCACAGTTTTTCAGCTGAGAAGATTGTGCAGCATCAAGTGACATAACACTATTTTTTGTTGTTTATAAAGGAATTTTCCTATTCTTAATTCATAGTTTCGCTTTGATAGGCGTATTTCACAGTTTTTATGACCCTTCGCCTTTTCGTCCTTTTTTAGAACCCTACCCAGATCTTTTACTTTTGCATCTCTAATTTGTAATTGGTATATTGGGGTGTTCATTTCTGAGACTATCATACGTTCCTTCTTATAACTGATGATTAGTTGTCTCTTCGTATTTCTTTTACCATCTTCTCTAGGTTTTCCTGCACTTACATCTCAATGTCAGTTATTAGCACTGTGTGATCTACATATTATAAGTTCTTAAGAATTTGTCCGCCAATAAAAGATTCTGATAGCTCTTATATATTATTCTTTCTCTCTCTTTCTTACTTTTTCATTTGAATTTTCCACTTGATTATACCTCCCGATAAGGGTAGAATCCCTCATATCCGGAATCCCTCATATCCGGAGTCCCTCATATCCGGAGTCCTTCATATCCGGAATCCTGCATATCAGGACATGATTTTGATGTGTATATTTGGGTGATATGTAACTAATTTGAAATTTCTGATTTTTCAGGAAATTTACTTTGGATAATTGCTTATGGTTATTTCACCCTAATGGCTTGTATTGGTGTAAAAGATGATGGGAATAAGAGGAAAAGAACAACTTTGGAAATTGGAAAGTGGAAATTTTAAACAGACTAGAAAGTTCACTGTAACTAATGGCTGAGTTCAACATAGAAAAGTCAACATTGCATGATACAAAATCTTCCAAAGAAACTATTCTCCCGCGTTCACAGTGATACTGTGAACAACGAAAAAAAAAAATCATGATTGTGATGAAACCTGGACTGAAATTGAAATAGCTATTGAAAAGGTTGTCAGTTTTATGGAAAGAAAGCCAACATTGAGCTATGATTGCAATAAAGCAACAAGAGTTAAAAAGAGTCTTTCGTTTAAAAAATTCAAGAACAAAGTCAAAACGAAATGCGGAAAAAGTTGAGAATGACATTAGAAGAGAAAGAATCATCCTGCAACAGAGATTAAAAAACCCTTGTTACATTATTTGTTTTGCATACGTGGCATACCTAATTTAATGAATTTTCATTAATATTACATAATTTATTTCTTTTTCCTTAAAATCAATTCCGTTATATTTCACTCACTATTAGCTTATTTTGTTTATTATAAAACATTGAAAATAAATGTTAAACCTGATTTCAAATCTTTTATTGTAATCTAAATATAACCCTTTATATTCGGATTTTGTAACTAATTCTTCATATCCGGAAGGCCTTCTTAATCCGGTTGTCAGGGATTGAACTGTATTTATTTTGTCTTTCACGTCTCTTTTCATTCCTTTATTACTTCTGCATTCTCTCGTGATCGCCTGCATGTAAAGTTTGAATGTCTGGTGCCATGCTAGGTTGCCGTTTCTTTCTGCAGTAGACCAGTTGCCATCCAAGGCTATAGAACCCAGTCTGTCCTGCTACTTACCCATAGCCGGAGGGAAAAGAAGAGGATTTATGTCTTTCCCAAGGATATTAGCACGTAAATAAATATAATGGATTCGACTGGAATTCGAACTCGGATCTCCGATTTCTCAATCCGAACCGATATTCATTACCACACCGTGCCTCCTAAATCCGTTAAGTGCCATGCGTGATACACGCTTAGCCGATCTTTGTATCTTTCGATACATGACTGACGAGGCAGATATTTTCCCGCAGTAGGTTGCCATTTCTTTCTGCAGTAGACCATTTGTCATCCTAGGCTATAGAACCCGGTCTGTTCTGCTATTTACTCATAGCTGGAAGGAAAAGAAGTGGATCCATGCCTTTCCCAAGGATATTAGCACGTAAGTGAATATAATGGATTCGAGTGGAATTCGAAGTCGGCTCTCCGATTCCTCAATCTGAGCCGCTATCCATTACTCCACCATACCTCCTATGTGCCATGTGTAATACACGCTTAGGCGATCATGTATCTTTCGATACATAACTGTCGAGGCAGATTTTCTTCCCGTAGTAGGTTGCCATTTCGGCTCTCCGATTCCTCAATCCATTACTCCACCGTGCCTTTTTTAAACGTATAAGTAATATTAACTAGTAAATTTATGAAACGCATAGTAAACTTCGACAGTAGACTATTAGTATATATAGTTTCTATTATATTAATCTAATATAAATCTTACTATCTTACAGTCTCCCCATGTTCTTAGGTTTAATTTCCATACACAGTTTTACAACTCGCCATTCCTTCATAATAGATATAGTTCTTCATTCTCATGTTTTTTTCTTTGCTTAGCTCACTACACCAAACACGTCTTTCCACTCACCTCCTCCGCAAATGTCGTCTGTCTATTAAGAGATGACTCAGATATTCAGACATTCCTTAAGGACTATCGTAAAACTGTCAGCCATTAAAGCGATCGTACACCCCAGCGCACTGAACATTAGAAACGTTGTAAAACCTCTTTTGTCCGGTCATATTACCAATATTGATTAAAAACTATAACGCTGCCTATACTTACATTCAACGAAACATTCTCTGTTCAACCCCAAACCTGTCCTAGATAAATTAGTCTGCCTTTTCCGATTTTTTAAACCGAAAACGACAGAAAGTCAAGACTTCAAAACGATTATTTTTTTCTGACATCTCACTTTTTTCTTATTTTCTTTTTTTAATAATGTCCCATTACTTTCTGTCTCTCTCACCTTCTTGAAGATTGCTTTTATCGCTTATACTTTTTCTTCTTTTTTCCATATCGTTTTTATTCCGTTCACAATTGTCTTTCCTTTATTCTTTCTTTCTTTTCCTTATTTTCCTTCTTTGCTTTACGAAATATTAATTTATACCATTTTCGTATTTTCATTATCTCTGCGCTGTTTTTCGTTCTTTTTTTATCCCTTTTTATTGTTTTTTCTTTCTTTCTTTTTTTTAATATATTTTATCATTATTTTTCTTTCTTTTTCAAAATATTTATTTCTCATTTTGTTATCTATTTTCATTTTTATATTTCGCTTCTTCGTTCTTTTTCTTTCTTTTTAATATTTTTTACCATTCGTCTTTTTCTTTCTTTGGTTTGCTTACATAAATATTTTTTCCTTCAAGTATTTTTTCTATCTGTTCGCAATAGATTTTTCTTTTTTATATTATTCTTTCTTTCGTTCGTTTTTGCATCTACATTTCTTTTTTTCTTCTTCCCAAAGGTTTTCAATCTTTCTTTATTTCCATTGTGTCTTTCATATTTTCTTTACTTCTTCCTTTTCCATTTGATTTGACATCCTGCTTTGTTTTTTAGGTCTTTTTTTTCTTTATAAATTTCATATTTAATGTTATTTATTTTAAAATTGATTTTCTCTTTGTAATATTTTTTTTAGATTTTATCATTCGTTTTATATGTTCTTATATATTTGATATGTCTTTATTTTTCAATTTCAGATAACTTTCCTTTCTCTTTCCTTTTCAACTACATCCCATAAACTTTTTTTTCCAGATATCGGCTTTTATTTATTTTTTATTATTTTTATTTTCTTTCTTTCTTCTGATTCCTCTATTTTTCATTATATTTATTTTCATATATTTCCTTTGTTTTCCTTTTCTTTCTTTCTATTTTTCTTTCTTTCCTTCTTTCTTTCTTTCTTTCTTTATTTATTTCTTATATTTCCCTTTGTTTTTTCTTTCTTTCTTTTAAATATACACTAATCTCTTCTTTTCCGTCTATTTTTCATTAATTTTATTTTTAATTTATCCTCTTCTTCAACTGTCTTTCTTTCTTTCTTTCTTTCTTTCTTTCTTTCTTTCTTTCTTTCTTTCTAATATCTTTTGATTCTTTTTCCTGTCCATTTTTCATTTCTTTTTTATTTTCAATTTTTAATTTTGTTTGTAATTTCTTTTTTTTCTGTATGTCTTTCTATTTACTCTCTTTCTATTTTCTTTCTTTCTTTCTTTTTTCTCTCCCTTTCTTTTTTCCATGTTATATATTTCTTTCCTTTTCGCAAATCATTTTCCTTTCTTTCTTTGGCCTTCCATATTCATTCCAGTTTCTTCTTGTCTATCTGAGGTTCATTCTCTCATTTCTCAGTTATTACTAGCTCGAAGTACCCTTTTTTCTCTCTCTTTCTCTAATTCTTTTTCTTCTTTCCCTTTTTTTTTTCTCTTCTTGGTGCTATTTTAATGTTGCGTTTTATGAGAGATTCATGACGTTTGCTTAGAGAGTAGCGTGTTATTTACTTGTTTTTGATGGCCACTCAATATTTCCATGTTATTTTACTTTATAAAAACACTAATACTAATTTAGTGACTACATTATATCCCCACTGCCTTCAACTCTCGCCAGGATTTACGAAGAGAAATGTAATCTCGCCCAACAGAACCGAACCTCAACGAAATTATATAGACGCCCTTAAGACCTTTTAGAGAGGTTCCCTCATCTCTTTGCTAACCTAGAAGATTAGAGGTGAAAATGTTTTAACAATTTGAATACATGTTATTGTATCCTATTATAGACTGTTCCGACCAACAAGGCATCAATTTAATTTGTATTTTGAAAGAGGTTTGCTAAAATAAAACATGAAAATGAACAAGAGTCCAACATTTCGAGAAATTCTTTAGGATTCACAAATCAACAAAGAAAAGGGTCAATGCTAACTTGAAAAAATTCCAAGTGGGATTCTTTATAATTTATCAGAATTATATATATATATATATATATATATATATATATATATATATATATATATATATATATATATATATATAAAGAAATATTGTTTTAAGGTGTGTTATATTTATGGGATAAAGTGTTCAATATCAGAGACAGAACGTAAATATAAATACAAAAGTTAACACTGAAGTCAACACTCAGAAGCGACAGGCTGTTCCATGCTAGACGCAATCGTCAGGCCGCCTGGCGATTGCGTCTAGCATGAAAGAGCATGTTGCCTAGTCGCCGATGAATATTGACTTCAATGTTAACTATTATATATATATATATATATATATATATATATATATATATATATATATATATATATATAAATGTAACCAGGGTAAGTTTAATATCATGCCGATATATCAAACAGACAATTACTCGTATCTACAAATACAGGAAAAAACACTTTATAGGCAAATTCAAACCCGAACTGAATAGATCGTAACCCCCCGCCAAAAAAAAAACATGCACACAGGGTGACCAAATACAATGATCGCTCACATACATGGACGCACACTCATATACGGGAGACACGAGGAGATATATATATGTGTATGTACACATACATACATTTATGTATGTATATGCGGATGTTGACAACTTAAGAAGTACGTGTGTGTGTGTGTGTGTGTGTGTGTGTGTGTGTGTGTGTGTGTGTGTGTGTGTGTGTGTGTGTGTGTGTGTGTAGTGGTTCCATGTAGCTTGGGAAATATGTGTGTATATGTGTGTGTGTACTGACTACTTGTGGTGGGATAGTGTGTATGTGCGTATGTGTGTGTATGCGTGTATAAGTACAAATAAGTTTACGAATTCCTCGTAGTAAGGAAATATACGCACGCATATATACACGCATGCTGACAGGAACACGCCAAAATAGAAACAGATCCAAGAGCACATAGAGGTCACTAAAACATTAAAAGATTAAATGCCGATAACTACTCGCTGGACAAACCTTAATTGTTTTATGACCCTTCACGCAGAACTCTTCATTGACAATTCTAGAAAGAAAATTCGGATTGCCAACACAAACAGAATGTCTCATATCGAGAATATTCCACATTGAACATGAAGAAAAATTAATTATTTTTAATAATATGTAAAAATCTCCACTTTCACCTGAAGACGGTTGCGAGACCAGACCAGAAACACGTGTCGTGAAATTATGTAAAACAAAGTATAATATTTTTCTCAATAAATCCACATTACAACCAAAAACGTTTGCGGCACCCCTCTTTTTTTAATATATATATATATATATATATATATATATATATATATATATATATATATATATATATGTCTCTGTGTGTGTGTGTGTCGTGTGTGTGTTATATTTAATCCTTTCAAATTTACGGATCAAACAATTCAAATCTTATAACAGAATTAAATAGGGCTAATATTATTTACGAATTTAAATGTCCATTAAAGAATTGTATTCCTGATCAATCAAAATTCGGAAATAATTATATACGCCACACTACAATATGTTTGACAGGAAGACTCACACGACATATTTCTGATCATAGCTCAATTTGGTCTCATTAAATAATCATGGGGACCTACTGGACCCTGTTTGTGATATACTTGTTGATAACACAAATATAATAGCATCGTGTACATGCAAAAAAATGGTTAAATATAATGGAAGCCTTATTATTAAAAACAAAGAAAAACAACGCTCAAAGTTATCAACTATGAACATAGACACAAAATCTTGACCGTGCTTTGAAAATGTAATATTATATAAATACGTACATACAACGAACTATTTCTTGTTAACAGTGAATATATTTCAACCTTGAAAATGGCTAAATATATATCCGAAAGCACTAGAACGAAAACATTTGGACGGTTTTTATATAAGTTATCCAGTGAAAAGTTATAAGATCATATGAGAAATTATATATATATATATACATTTAAGTAATTCATCGAGTCTGATAGAAACCTCAACAGAATGCAGAAAGCACTGGACGGCCGTTTCGTCCTATATTTGGGACTCATCAGCAGTGCGCATCCACTACCGAAAATTGAAACCCTGACAGTTAGGTTGTCAAGGGAATATCATACCAACTGTTCCACCGGCCCTCAGTGGCAAAGAGATTGCAAATCAGACTCACTATAGCGCCCCTCGCTCATATATTCCGTGGTGGAACCGTACTGCGTTCTCTGTAACCATAGGACTATAATCAATTCTCATGTGCTGTTGTCTGGCTGTCGGTTTCCTAGGAACCGATCGGATTGACCCTCATACGTTGAATTCGACGGGAGAGTCGAGTATATATATATATATATATATATATATATATATATATATATATGTGTGTGTGTGTGTGTGTGTGTGTGTGTGTGTGTGTGTGTATGGTACAGATAATTGATCCGTTGGTATATAATCAAGGTGGATCCTAGTAATATTAGTTATTAAAACTGATTCACAGAGAGATCGACGTATTTATTATAACAGAGCATATGCATTTTTACAGAAAAAAAATCGAACAAAAAAACAGAATTTATCGCAACATAGATGATAGTCTGTTTCAAGCCCTTCTGTACGCGGCTATCATTAGCCCCCGATATCTATATATATATATATATATATATATATATATATATATATAACACAAACAGGTATATATATATATATATATATATATATATATATATATATATATATATATATATATATATATATATGTATTAGGGCCGTTGGTGTCTGTGGGAATTTAAATATTATGTCATATTGTCGTATTATGCCATTTCTTCTTAGTGAATCCTTTTCTCTCCTTATTAGAGTGGCATTTGTTGTCAAATATATTACAGTGAAGTACCAGTGAGTCTAATGTGTTACTATACAGCATATCACTGAAATATTCATATAGTCTGTCTTCTTTTTTATTTCGCCGATGTACACAAGTGAGTATTTTATACAATACATATATATGCACAGATATATATATATATATATATATATATATATATATATATATATATATATATGGGGGGGATGTGCGTTGATGATCGAGCAAAGTTTAATAGTGCCTTATAAACGCGAATCCTTCTTCGAATTTCGAAATATTCAGTTCTGCCCATTTTCGTATCTTAAACTAAACAAAGTAATTTCTAAGGAAATGATGAATTTTTATTTATTAATCCAACAGATTTTATTATTTACACGTTATTTTTAGTAGATACCCATATTTATGTAGACGCTCCTTTTACTTATTAAACAGTAGATGTATTTATTTTCTTCTACCGGTGTCAATGCTCAAGAAATCTTATTAAAGAAAGATGTGCGCCCCCCCCCACGACAGGATTTGGTGCGTGCTCCCCCTTGGGAAGCGAGCATTTATTTTTCTCAAATGTGTATGATGGTAGACGAAAATAAATGGATAAATAAATGTAGCGTCTACTCAAACACGGGTATCGGAATATGCTTTAAGAGATATAACAAGGAAAACAATTTATTAAGAACTACAAACGACAGACAATTGTAGAGGGCCATGACCGTCAACGTCCTGAATGGACACGGCATAGAAAAGAAGATAACGAAGAATTTCGGAAATTGAGTTACACCGTGAAATTTCCAGCGTCTTCTTGCATATGTAAAGTGAAGTATCTAAACTGTAGAGATACGTCTTTACCACTAGGTTAAAGTACGTCGAATCTAATGACATTTCCCTATGTCCAGGGTTGGGTGCAGGTTGCAATCCTACTAGAAAGCGCATTTGATTCTTTAATATAATTTCTAAAATATTAAAGCCGGTAGAAAAAAATTAATAAATATACTGTTTAATGAATAAACAGGTCGTCTACTCAAATATGTCTATCCACTAAAAATAACGTTTGTGATAAAATGTTGATGAATATATATATATATATATATATATATATATATATATGCAATAGTTGAATCTATTATTTGGTGCCCCTCTGTTGCGATAGATAGTGGAGAGCTCGCCGTACAATAACATTTTAGGTGATGTTACTCCATCATGTAAACATGTGCAATACAGCGTTGATGGGACGACTTCAGCAGCGTATGAATAAACAGGGCATCTGCTCAAATATTTGTATCCACTAAAAATAACGTTTGTGATAAAATATGCATGATATATATATATATATATATATATATATATATATATATATATAATACAATATATGATGTAAAATATTATATTGTAAAAGGAGACTGAAAACAGCCGCGTTATAAACACTAAAAAGTGCTCAATGGTGGCATCAACTGAATTGTTTATTCTACTTGCCTGAGGAGAACTTGCAGTTGAAACCCGGGTAGTAAGGTAGATTGTATTTTAGTGTTTTTGAAATATATATATATATATATATAT